TTTTTTTTTTTTTTTTTTTTTTTTGCGTTAGGGATTTTTTTTTTCCTGTGAACACTGACTAAAGCTTTCTTATTTTCATCTGCCATCCATTTTTAAACTGCTCTTTCCCTCTTCATGGATTATAACCCTTACCCTAATTCTGCCTTTACACTTGTTCAGGATCACAATCTGCTAATACCATTGGTGGTAAGAATCTATAGACTTTATGTATGCATCTATTGTTTGATCACATATTATCATTACCAAAAATGGGTTCTATTCAGCAGAAACTCAACATGAATTATTCCATCTTTCTATAATCATATTGTGGCAAAAATTACTAATTGTGATTTTTCTTTTATTACCAAAACTCTGCATTTTAAAAATTATCTAAGTTGAACCTACAGATGCAAGCATTCAAAAGAAAAAAACCTTTGGTAATACTTTGACATATCATAAAAGTATAAAATGATAGTTTGTAGGTAGCACAAGAGAAAATAGGTGTCCAGTTGCCAGTTCTGCTATTCCCAGGGTGCATCATACCCTTTTTCATCAACTCTGTGGTTTTCCTAAAGGAAATAATTAGCCTTGTTTACTCTTTACTGGAAAAAAAGCTGTGATATTTTCTTCCAAGTTTAAATAAAATTCCAGGGAGTCAAAGGCACTGGAATTATTAGTCTTGGTGGGGTATTGGAAAAGAGAGGGTAATGGTTGAAATGACAGGTATACAGCCAATATTATTGCCTGGGAGAGATGAATGAATTTAAAGCATGCATAGATTTCATAAAGTCAGTAAATCTAGAGCAGACAGCAGCTGTTCTACTTCTAAACTGCATGTTTCTTTCCTATCTGCTGAATAGACCCACGTTTCAAGAAATCCTCCAGTTATTTCCTACCAACACCTCCACCTCCCCAAATTTATATTGGTTTTATTTAACAGAATACCATAACTGTATGTGCTCAGTTCATTATTTATACTTTTTATATTGTTGCGAGTTTTCCCATAAAATACTCCATCGGCCTATCTTGCATTGTGAGTTTGTGGCATGTTGGGTATTTCGATGTTTTGGTGCATATGTTTAGTTTAGATACTGCATGGAGAAAACAGATACATTATAACTATTCTTAATGTTATAAATAAAGAAATCATATTTGAAGATTCATCACTTGAAACATGCAATATTCAAATGAACAATCATTTTAAAGTAGACCTTCTACTTAAATAGTAAATTGTTACTTTCACTGGAAATACTACATTGTTTTATAATATTGCAGTCGCTAGTGGGAGATTTTGTGTACTGGTAAAGTTTAAGAATGAAGCAAGAGTATAAATTGTACTCAGTAAGACCATGCCAAGAAAACTAACACAAAAATCACGGGTCAGCAACCTATGGACTCTATGCAGCCTGCTCCATTAATATATTGTTTGTTTGATCTGTACAACATGATAAAAATCAGAACATTTCAAAGTTTTTTATTTTTTAAAGATTATAAGATTGAGGCAGCATTATCTCAATACAGAGCTGGCTAGAACTGAAATTCGCCTCCCCCTTAGCAAAAGACAGGCACTCTCCATTAGATCATGGTCCTCTTACCACTCCCTGCATTTATTCAATACACTTTTTTTCAGATTTTTTTTTTTAACATTCCATGCTTGTTCGCATTGGCATTTGAGTCTTTACTCTGATGTAGAAATGAATCATGATTGAGTGAGTTTGTACAGCGTGAGAAGTGGTGCCCAATAAGGTAAAAGGTTGTTCCATGAAGATTTATTTAACTATAAGTTCACTTTTTCTATAATGTGTCCATTCAGAATCTAGAGTTAAATTATACTTCGGAGTGTCTGGTCCATTTTCCTGTTCAGAGCAAAGTGCTCTGAGTAGGAAACATATCCCTTAAAAGTTAACTCATGCATTTCTAGTTTAAAACTGTATCATTGGTTTAAAAAAAAAAAACTTTCCTGATAATGTGATTTTTTTTTTTAATTTCTCTTATCTGCCTGACCACATCTCCTCTGACTTTTAACATTTGCCCTTGGTCCTGTTCCACAAGAATATAGCCACCTAAGAGCACTTTGCTATTTGAAGATGAATAGCAAAAACAAGTTCCTTTTTCAGCTGATCCAATTTTGTTAAAATACTAATTTAGATAAATATCTCAGCAAACTGTTTTAATATGAAGCAAATTATCATTGTCATATACTTAATAATAGTAATAGAAAGAGGGTTCACTCTATACCTTTTAAATATTTTTCAAATAGCTGCTTTTTTTATTATTATTTTGAGCTCGGTGCTGGGAATCCAAGGGCCTCACACATGCTCTGCCATTGAGCTGTATCCTCAGCCTCGTTTTTAAACATATGACATGTATTATCAAGTTTTTTACTGCTTTTGAAACTTTTTTTACTATTTGTATTTTTTAAATCATAATATTATTGAACATAGTATTGTATATCCTCTAAACTGAAAATATACTTTAGGTAATTTATCATTCATTGCTATTATATATAGTATACACCACCCCAGCCTGTTACAGTTACATGTAGATTTTCCTCAATCCATTTTCTTTAACTAGAACATCTATACTTAATCACAGCTTTCCCAAATATATTTCTTGACCTTTTATCCCTTGGACAAGTTCTTTTGTTGTTCATATCTTAATATTTGTATGTGTTTTATGTTTAGCTGGCAGCCGGTCTGGGTCTCCAGGAAGAGTTCTGACCACTACAGCTCTCTCTACTGTGAGCTCCGGAGTTCAAAGAGTACTGGTCAGTTCCGCTTCAGCACAAAAAAGGAGCAAGATACCACGGAGTCAAGGCTGTAGCAGAGAAGCTAGTCCATCTAGGCTTTCAGTGGGTAAGATTTCGTATGTGAGAATTGTTACCTTTCATTTCATTTTGATTTTGGGCTTTGGAAATATTGATGAGTTTAAAATATAATTAGGCACTTATACATTAGAGGAAAACAAAACTTCAGTAAGAACTGAAGTACAGTATAGAATCTTCAAAGTGTAATTTATAACTTTAAAAAATAGTACCTAATATTTTGAAGCACAAGATTATTATAGAATATACAACATATTACACATATTTATATACACATATGTCTATCAGGGTATATAAACTGCTTATGTTTCACGTTTGTATTGTAGATTAGCCCAACTTAAATATTAATAAACTTCTGCTATCTCTTTGTGTTGACTAGAATACTTTCCATTTTAGATAACAGAAGTTACAGTTGAGGCCAGCTTGAACAGTAAAAAGGGATTTATTGGCTCTTTTAACTGAAACATTTAGAGGTGGTGCAGCCTTTGGAGTTTATTGATGAGCATTCAGAATCTGTCCGTTGTCTGGCTTTTTTTTTGTGCCAGGGATCAAATGGCTTTTTATGTATTGTCCCTCCTTCGTGTTTTACCAGTCATATTACTCACTTTGTCCATAGAATAGCTGCTATTTGATCTGTTGGTCCCAGAACAGAAATCTGATTACTCCAACTTCTTTTATTTATTTATTTATTTTTGGTACCGGGGATTGAACTTGGGACCTGGCTCATCCAACTTCTTCTTAATCATTTGTTTTTCATTGATTTTAAAGTCTTTTGTAGATTACTTGTATAAAGAATATCCTCTTGGCCTGGGGATTTAGCTCAGTGCCACCACCTGCCTTGCAAGCACAAGGTCCCCAGTACCAAAAAAAAAAAGAATATCCTCCTGTTTCTGTTACTGTTTTATCAACTTCAAGCAGTATCTCAACTCCCTTGCCTTTCCCTTCACTGTCTTTTCTTAGCATTATTGGCTTTGTTTTAACATTGCTAAACTTTACATGTGCATTCTCTTCCAAATTCTCATCCAAATCTTAGGTTCTTGTTTCCTAGGTTGACTTTAGAACTTGAAAAGCTTTAAGTAACATTTGCTGTGTTATGAGTAAATAAATGTTGTTTGCTGCCAAGACATAAAATATGCGGTGACCTCATTTTCACACAAAGATAGTCTAAGGTGTTAGAGATCACTTGAAAAGGATGTTCTTATTATGTATATAGAAATGAATTTTCTTACAGTCCTGGCAGCTATGTAAAATTACACCACATTTTGGTTTGCTTTGTATTTGGAAAGTGACTTTCCTATATTGTATTTCCTATACTGTATAGACCTTTTCATCATTTCTGTTTGTTTTGAAATAGTCTGTAGAAGAACAGTGTCTTCTTATGTCATCTAGTATTATTGTCCTGTCAGTAGTACTAAGTATTACATGGCGTTCTGCATTCTCTAGAGATTTTACATGTTTCCAGTGCTCTGGATTAGTTACAGCCGTCTTGCTCAGCTGTCATTTTAGGGTTTACATTAACTTCTTTCCTAGATTGAATATACTCTTCTCTGATGGTCTCTTTTTTCTTTATTTTTTCTTTTGCTTTGCCTCAAACATATTCTCAAAAAAATTCCTTAGGAATTATATGTAGAAGGAAATTTCTTGAAGCCTTACTTATTAAGAATGTCTTTATTCAATACATAACAGACCTTTAGTCCTACAGACTGAATTAATATGCTTAGCAGCAATTTTTACTTACAATGTACCTGATATTTACCCCGAGAGCCCCTGGAATTTTCAGGCTGATTTTCTTCTTTTTGTCTTCCAGACATTATTTTAAAATATTCTACTCCACTTTTAGTCAATCCTCACTCCTAGATTTTCTCTTACTTGCTCATTTATATCTATATTTTTATAATTTGTGATGGATGAGAAAAAACATAGGAATTGAAAGCACTGACTCATTTATTATGAACTGAAGACAATGGACATTGTACTTCAGATTAATATTTGACATGTATAGATTTTTAAAATTAATTTTATTAGTACATTTTAGATATTCATAATAATCACATTTATCATAGGGAATTTGTACCTATACATGATATATCTTGATTCCTCTTTTTTTCCTTATTCCCCTCCACTCCTTTCAACCCCTTGTCCCCTCCTTATTTTGCAAAGCTTTGTTTCCATTTCCTCCCTCTTTTCTTTTCCCTTCCTTTCTTTCCCCCTCCTCCCTTCCCTAGTTCCCCTTGCCCTTTGAACAGTTTCTTTCTAGTTCACAATTATATTTTTTTTTCTGTATTAAAAATAAGATATTTTTGAGCCAGGTGTGGTGACATGTACGTGCAGTACCAACACTGGGAAGCTGAGGCAGGAGGATCTCTATGAGTTTGAGGCCAGCCTGGACTACAGTAGGGAGACTGTCTCAAAAATAAGTAAATAATAGTTAATTAATTTTGACCTAAGATACAAAAAATGATAGAGATCTATAATTCATTCAGCAAATGGAAAAATTGAGTTTTACAGTATATGTTGTATAATATTTTACATCTTTTTATTTGCATCTCTATTTTAGTAAGATACTCCCAACTTCATACAAACTAGCAGACAGACCATATTCAAAAAACGTAACTACATTTCTGTTTCATCAAGAGTAGTTTCTTTTCGACTTTAAAAAAAAAATTTTAATTACCAGTCATTTCTTAAGAAAGCAAAACAAATGCAGTGTCTACCTGGCAAGGATGAGTCCCTGAGTTCGATTCCTAGACCTGCATCAAAAAAAGAAAGAGGGAGAGAGATAGAGAGGGAGGGAGAGAGAGGGAGAAAAGGAGAGAAGGGGTTGGGGAAGAGAGATATCTTTAGGCTGGGGATTATTTAGCTCAGTGGTGCCACCACCTGCCTTGCCCAAGTGCAAGGTCCTAAGTTAGATCCCCAACACCAAAAACAAAAAAAAAAAGAAAGCAAATAAAACCAAAATTTAAAAATAACCTAAACTATGTCTTCTGTTTTCTTCCCTGCTATGCTGGTGTTGATTTATGCCAGCCCGAAGCAGTCGTATTCCTCGACCAAGTGTGAGTCAAGGTTGCAGCCGGGAAGCTAGTAGGGAGAGCAGCCGGGACACAAGTCCTGTTCGTTCTTTTCAGCCCCTTGGTAAGTATTTGGGCAGGTGTGAGGAGCATTACTTTCATCGTGAGTTTGCACCATTCAGTAACCTTAGGGTACCTGGAATTTAGTGTTCTTCTTCAACTGTATCTTTGAGGAAGGCATCTGAAGGAAACACTATGTTTAAAAAATGTCTTTGAAAAAAAGAAAAATGTCTTTGACCTTACTACCTTAAATGATAAAATTGGTCTTTATATAAATGAATTGCTTTTATAATCAAATAAGTGTCACAAATTTTATTTTAATTTTTTCTTAACAAATAAACATAGAATTTTACATTTGTCTTTAAATATTCACTGTTGAGTGAAATATGGATTAGTTTTATAAAATAACTTTTTTCCTCTTCATCAGAAATAATGACTTTTCAACTTAGATCTTTTTTTGTTGTTTTCTTTTTAATGGTACTAGGGATCAAACTCGGGGCCTTGAACCTGCAAGGCAGGCAGCAGCACCACTGAACTAAATTCCTGGCACTTGAGTTAGATCATTCAATGTAGGTTACTACAAAGAATGTACATGACAATATGTGAAATACTTGTTAATGGAAATGATTAACATTTTTATAGTATTTCACAATTTAACAGTCATTTCCCATCTCTTAGCTTACATCGTGGTGCTGCTATTAAAATTTGGGTTCCCAATTATAGACCTTGTATTATAACCTTGATTATAATACTGAATTTTATCTGATTTATAAAAATATTAAATGATTTTTTTAATGATTCATGTTTTTAGGACAACTGGGAAGGCATAATTTTTTACATTGAGAATCTCTAGAATGTCTTCGTGATCTATCACCACTTTAACCAGAATGTTGGCTCTTCAAGAGTTTGGGATGATTAAGTAGAATACAGTTCTATTAGTTGTCTGTTGGAATTTTTATTTCCTCAGATATGTTAGTGTAGAATTTCTAGTTTTTAATTTCTAAATCTCTGGGGCCATGGGCACAGATATATCACAGAGCTGTCCTTTACTGACCTTTTAGCTAGGGATGTACAGCAGTATCCTCAATCCTCATTTATGTTCTAGCCTCAGATTTCGAAGAGACTCACTTTCTCTTTCCCTGTGGGAAGGTGCCAAGATATGAATGCTTCTGCATCACTAAGGCCAGGTGTGACAGATGCTTTGCCAGAGACACTGTAGCCTGAGGAATGTCGGTGCAGGCGCATGTGCATGTGCGTGTGTACATACGTGGTTCATCCTCGTGCATATATATATTTAAAGAGCTGAAATCCTGCATTTATGTACAGTGAACATGCCATGTTGAGGAGTTGAAGGGACACATGTGGTGGATCAAGAACATACATACTTTTCAGGGTCAGATGGCCTACGTTCATGTCCCAGCTCTTCAACCTTTCTATGCCTGGTTTTCCTTATCTATAAAACAAAGATACTACAAATAGTTTCCTTATCTGTAAATAAAGACAATACGTATACCATAGGATTGTTTGAATGTATAAATGAGGAAATACATGAAAAAACACTCAGAACAGTCCTTGGCACACAGTGAGCGTTCAGTTACCGTGGTCTTTATGGTCATGGTCATGCTACTGCCACTGCTGCTGCTAGTGTCATTCTCTCCCCCAACTCCAAGCTCTAATCATTTACACTGTAGAGAGAAGGATCCCAGATTATTTTAAATGCATTTTATGTAATACTAACATCACAGAGAATTAATGGAAAATACCAAGAAGAAACCAAAATGTGTTTCTTCTTTTAAACCTGAACCTTAGAGATTAGAGGAAATTTATAATCAACTACTAATAATTTTAAAGTAAGCATTGGTAATAAGATACATTTCAAAAAGAGGACATCTAGCCATTGAGTTTCTAGATTCATTTCAAAGCTTCTATTTTATAATTAAAATAATTACATTTTTATTATTAAGGGAAGCAATTCTATTGATTCTTGTAAAACTTCCTATTTGGGCTAAAGATGATTAAGCCTTTTAATCATTATGTTTAATTTTTTCCAGCCCCTTGGTCAATTTGCAGAATTAATTTTTATAGGCCTTTTATTTACATACAGATACCGTGTAGCAAAGGCAGCAGATTAGCCCAGTTTGTTTCACAGGTATTGAAGAGCTGCATTCCCAGAGATTAAATGGTCTTCACCATTCCTACTTTTCTGCTACATTTGCTCACAGTCTGCAGTCCTTACCATATATGCCCATGTGGTGGAATCTGTGACTTTGAATGTTGATAGTACTGAATCCTATAGCTTGTTATACATGCACTTGTATATCACAGGCCATTTGTGAGGGCCATAAAATTTCAGAAAGAAATCACAGCTGAGCAAAGTTGTACTTCTCTGGAACTTGCATCCTTGATTTCCATTTACTTCTGGAACTGAGATTTTTTTTTTTTTTTAACAGCTCACTTTGTTATAAGCACATGCATTTTGCCTCAATCTCAGATAAATATTGATCCCTTCAGAGATTTTCACCCAATAGGCATTTTCAGATTTGCTAAAAAAATTTTATTTGGGGTACTGGGGATTGAATTTAGGACCTTGTGTTTGCCAGGTGGGTGGCTCACCACTGAGCTAAATCCCTGGCCCTGCCCAAATCTTTCTTACCACTTTTTAAATGATTTCTGTTAAATTAAAACTATATACTAGCATATTTTTAAATAATATTAATCGTCTTTTGGGATTTATTAACCTTTTTGTGTAGCATTCCATTTAGTCTTTCAATCTTTTTTATTATTTTAAGGTTTCCCTGTAACAAAGGAGTAATTTGTGTAATAAAAGTGGATTAACTGCTCTAATTGATACATCTGAAGAAGACTAACTTTCAAAATAAAATATTTCATTAAATATCAAAATGCATTTTCCTGGGTCAGGGATTTGGCTCAGTGGTTCTGCCACCTGCCTCACAAGCACAAGGGCTTGAGTTTGATCCCCAGTACCAAAAAGAAAAAAATGCATTTTTCCTGTCAGTTTATTTATTTTTTAATGTAAGATTACCTGTATGGTGTTAGGAAAATCAAGATTTTAATATCTAAAGCAAAATATGATAGATTTAGATTCTAAAGCAGTAAGTATATAAGGAGACATCACAAATTTTTAGGGCTTTTGTTTTAGAATTACTGAGTTTTTCCATACTTAAAAGTGCTTTGATATTTAAGTAATCTTATTATTAAATGCAGAACTTATATTCAGTGAACCATTATAAAAAATGTTCTGTTAATATAAATGAAGTGTATTATATGAATAATGTGAAGGTGTGGTATGTTTGCTATTTAAGAACAGAGGATTTGAGGGCTGGGGATTTAGGTCAGTGGTTCTGCTGTCTGCCTCAAAAGCACAAGGACCCAAGTTTAAGACCCAGTACCAAAAAAAAAAAAAAAAGAACAGAGGATTTGAAAGAGTAGATACTGAAGCATCCTAGTAGTGTGGGTTTGATCACATAAATTACCTCTGTGCTCTAATTTCCCCATCTGTCTTAATCTATTCAGGCTGCTGTAACAAATACCAGAGATTAGGTACTTACAAATGACAGACATTTATTTCTCACAGTTCTGGAGACCAGACAGTCTAGGGGACCAACAGATTTGGTGTCTGGTGACCTGTTCACGGTTCAAAGTTTGTGATTGTGTCCTCAGGTAGTAGGAGCTAAATACTGCTCTGGAGTCTCCTTTATTATTACACCAAGGCCCCACTCATCTCCTAATACTGTACCATCATCACCTTGGGGAGTAGGCTTTCAATATATCGATGGGGAGGGGCACAAACATTTAGACCTTTAAATTGAGTTATAATAACTGCTTCATTGGTTATTGAGATTAAAGGAGATAAGATTATTATTAGCTACTAGTTACCATAGTGGTTTTTTTTTTAACCTACAGTGTTTTTGTTTTTGTCTGTTTGTTTTGTTTTCATGCTTGTATTTTCAACATTTCCTTCCATTTGAATACTTGCTGTCTTCCTTTTTCTTCTTCTTTCTTCTTTTTTTTTTCCATCTCTTGTAGGCCTGTCTGTCCACCTAGGTGTAAGTTGTTATCTATGTGTCAGGAATGACCTTGCAATGCTAAATATTCAGTTGCCATATTTAGCAATATTCTGATCTTGACTGTTGAGTAACACCAGTGTTAACTAACTCTCCTTGCCTGACAGTAGTGCTGCCACTATTCCTTGTTTCTGTGGTAATAGATGAGGTTTGTATGGTCCTGTTATTCCAGCCTCCAGACACCATTCCCGATCTACTGGTGCCCTCTACGCCCCCGATGTGTATGGGGCCTCAGGTGAAGGATGAGTACATTTTCACTATCATCTGTGCATTCATCTCAGATTTTGGGTTTTTTTTTTCATAGAATAATACTCATTTTTAAAAATGATTTGTTTTTATTTAAGTTTAATATGTTGGAGCGTCACTTATTTTCTTTTCTTTTCCTGCAAGTAACATTCCCACTTTAGCAACCTTACTGAGCATTTTTTTTACTAGCAATTGGGCATTTTTTTGGTATAACCTATGTCATTTTTAAATATAAAATTGTTTTATGTTCTTGGTTATGTACTTCATCTTTGTTTATATGTTAAAAAAAAAAACCAAAATGGTGGATGAAGTGTTTTAATTGTAAACGATGGTATACAAAGCAGTTGAAGGAGAATTCATCTCTGGTTTGTCTTTACATATTTCAGAATATTGGGCACATAGTAGCCCCTTAACAGATATCAAATGATCTTAATTATAGAATAAAATCAATCTACCATGAAAAAGAGATTATAAATGGAGTTTTTCTTCCTAGTACATTCCTGGTGTGACTTCATTGATCTCCCAAACCATTATCGGTTGAGGGTTGATCTTTGTCATGGATTTCTTTGTAGTTTACCCATAGGGAGAGACTTGCCTGAACTGACAGAGCTGGATTAATTACAGTGGTATAGATGTGCGAGTCCTAAGTCTGCCAACCTTACATATTGCTACCTGTGGACATAAAGAGTTGCTATTCTTTAATTATTTCCTACACATTGTCAATGATTTTAATTGCCTTTAGCCTTTTATTTGATCAAGAACTCAGTGTGCCCAGAAAATACAGTATTGCTTTTAAAATGCTTTGCCCCATTGGTTTTTTTTTCCTCCCTTAAAAGTCTTAAAGTTTCCCGGGCTAACAGTCTTACAAAGCCTGCTTCAAAGCTTTTTTCTTCTTTTGATAAATTAGGTCCAGGGTACGGGATCAGCCAGTCGAGCCGACTGTCGTCGTCTGTCAGTGCCATGCGAGTCCTGAACACAGGTTCTGACGTGGAAGAGGCAGTAGCAGATGCCTTGGTACTCTTCTCCATTTCCTTATTAGTATACACGTTCCACTTTCTAAACGAGTGTATGAGAAACCCAGTCTACTTGTATGGAAAAGGGATAGAAAAGTTCTGCTAGATTAGTCGAGGAAGATAAACTATGAACAGTGTAAGAAGCAGAGCAGCGTAATTAATCTTGATCCTTACTAATTAGTCAGAACTTTAAGCCAGAGTCAGTAGTACTGATGGGTGTCAGAAGCATAAATAGTCATGTCTAATACAGTAATGTGTTTTATGCATTATAATATATTTAATGCAAGGTGAAATAGAGTGATACACTTGTAAGCATGTAATTGAAGGTTAACCTTCAGTATGTAAAGATTATTTTGATGTTTTCATTTTGTTTAGTCTTCTAAATATTTGTATTTTTTGAGCTAAGAGAAAGCACAGACTCAAGCAAATGATACTCAAGATATTTTCCTGATTATTTATGCTTGATGACACAATAAGCAGAGAAGTTTAAAAACATGTTGTACAGATTCATGATAGTCTGTCAGAAGAGTGCTATACACATATCATTGTTTATTAAAGGAAACTTTTGAAATCATGTATACAATTTATTTGGCTAATTTCCCAAGTCAGCTGGGTGTAACATTTCCTCTTTCAAATTATGAATTATGGTATTATCTAATGTTTGAGTAGCATTTACTTAATTTCTTTTTTGCCAGGGCGGGGTAGGAGGTGCAGAGGATTGAATCCAGGGCCTCATACAGACTTACTCAGTTTCTTACCCAGAACTGACAAAAGGGGCCTCATCTTTGTTTTGTGTGTGTGTGTGTGTGTGTGTGTGTGTGTCTGTTAAAATATATTTTGACTAGTATTAACATAATACAATTTTTTGCCACAGATTTGAAAGACAAATTTTTTTAAGAAAATTCTTTAGTAACTGCCATAATTTATTGAATATCATTGCTTATTTAGTTCTAAGTTATTATTGCTGAATTTTACCCTCAGCCATTTAATTTTTTTAATAATTATAACAGAGTGGGGATTTTATTCTCTTGAGCATAGGATATATTAATCACAGCCTTTTAGGATGATATTTAATAGGTATTTTAAATTTACTATTCTTTATCTCTGTATTCTCAAACTGTATTTTCTAGTTTTTTTAATTGGATGATTTACCAGTTCACTTCTGCTTATTTTATGAATTGAATGGGTTATTCGTGAGCTGTCCCTTATAATATTAAAATGTTTTTGAATTATATAGGAATATTTCAGAAACAAAGGCCAAAATATGAACCCCAGTAATTTATTCCATTTTCATTATTTGCCTAGCACAGATGCAACAGTTGGGGCTATCAATTTGTAAGAAACATCTTTTTCCACTATTAATCCTAATTTGAACCTTGGTAAAATTAGAGAAATAAAATTAAATTTAGAAATAACAAAAGGATGCAAATAGGAACAATATTTGAGATTCCTTGGGAAAACTGGTAATGGGAATATTTTTAGCTCAGATATTTCTCTTTCACCTGGAGGATACTGATAAGATTAAAGATATAGCCTGCTAATAAGCAGCTCTTTTGTATCTATCTGTATGTTTAAAAAACTTAATGTTTCTAAGTTTTTATGGCATTGGGCATTGTTAATGCCTACTTCACTGTGCTGTTTAGCAAAATGTTCTTCATTATTTTCAATTTCTTTCTTTAAAAATTTACTGCTCTCAGCTCTTAGGAGACATACGGACTAAGGTATAAACATTATTTTCTGACATCTTATAATGACATGACTTTTCTTTATTTCATCAATTTAAGATATGATGGTTTTCTATGAAAAATTAGAGTAATAAAAATCCTTAGACATATACATCTGCTTTTCTACAGTGTGATTATCAAGAAGGAGATACTGCCTGAATAAAGGGTCTTATGGGATTGCTAGTTTTTTCAGCCCAACTACTTATTCAAATGAGATGAGATCATTTCCAGCAATGTTTATTACAAAATTGATCCCGGACCTCAACACAGGAAACATCACAGTATTACCTTTCTAAATTAACTTGTTTTCTGTTCATCAAATGAGGGCAGTGAGTGCTGGAAGCATTGTAAAACTCTTTGAAGTTCAAATCATATTTCTTTCTGACTTTAGACCGTGGAGAACCTGTAGTCACTTGGAACTGTTTAAATTATTGTGCTTAATATGTTTGATTGAAATATCTTTACCAGCCAGAATCCAAATATCACATTACATAAATTTGTTTTCATTCTTCCAATAGAAATCTCAAATGATCTCTTCTCCCTCATGCCATTTTTTATATATAAGGTGTAGTTGCCTGTTACAAAAATGAAATTGTAAACATTAGATGTAAAGAAATAAAAGGAATGTGAATATGCTTTCTCATATTAAAGTAGATGATATAGATACATTGAGAAAACATGGAGGTGCCCCTAAGGATCTTGCCTCCTAAATATAACAGTAAGAACAGTTTCTCATTATTTTTTATATTTCACTTCTCTAGGAGTCATGAGGGTTGAATACAAGGGAAGAGTAGCAAGACAAGTGGTAGTGGAGGTAAAAGACTAGGAAAGACAGGATAAATGAGACATAGGGGAGATACATGCACATTTCTGATCCATTGTCCTCCTCTAATAAGGTAATATTTTCTTCTTACCAATTTGAATTTGTAGTAAGTTTCTGTCAGTTTTGCATTCTAATAGTTACTGGTTTTCCATGAAAAAGATTAAGGAAAACACCCATGTATTTTAGCATTTCCCACTCTAGTTATCTGATCTTTCATGTAATCTTACTCTTCCTCTACTACTTAGTAGTTAAAGAATATTTCACCTTCTACTAACTTCTAAAATGTGTTTCCTGAACAAAAATTAAATGTTGATATTTTATAATTTTAGTAATTAGCAGCATGCTTTGTACTGATTTTAGAACAAAAACTAGTCCTTTTTTGGTCAATAGACACTATGAAATACCAGTATCTTTTTAGCTACTGCTAATGACATTCTTTGTATATAATAGAAAAAACCTGCTCGAAGAAGATATGACTATGGAGTACATTCAGATGATGATGCCAACAGTGATGCTTCCAGTGCTTGTTCAGAACGCTCCTATAGTTCTCGAAATGGTAGTATTCCTACATATATGAGGCAGACAGAAGATGTGGCAGAAGTCCTCAATAGATGCGCTAGTTCCAATTGGTCAGAAAGAAAGGAGGGCCTCCTGGGTCTGCAGAACTTATTAAAAAACCAGAGAACATTAAGGTGAGATGTGTTGTCTTAATATAATTATTCTGTGAGGTTAGCACTTTTTTACCTTATAACACTGTAGAGATAATGGTACAGAAACACACTTGTCCTAAAGTCAAAGGTTGCATTAAAGCTTTTCCCAAGCCTCACTGCTTAGAAAGGTTTTGTAGTTTACTAAACAATTTTTATTTGCTTGCATTATTTGAAGAAGAATTTTAAAAGGAAACTATATATTTAAAATATAACTATTTTATAGAACACACGTGTAAATACTGAATAGTTTCTCTGGTGTGAGAAACTAAAAGTGTAAATAAGGATCAAAATGTATAATTGATAACGTAAAATGGGAAGAAAAGGTCCAAAGGAGTAGGAGAAGTGGGAGGGGTAGGGGAAAGGAAAGAAGGGAAAGGAAAAAATATGAAAATAGGAAGAAATGGAAACAAAGCCTTTGTAAATAGAAGTGGAGGGGTTGAAGGGAAGATGGGAGAGGGGAAAAAATAAGAACCAACATATGTCATGTAGAGGTACAAGATCCCAATGATGAATGTAACTGTATTGTATACCTAAAATGTACCAATAAACTCAATGGAAAAAATAACTTTCATAAAATGAAAAATATTAATTTTAGAAATCAACATAAATAGTAAGGGCTGGGAATGTAGTTCAGTGATAGAGTGGTTGCCTACTATGTGCAAGGCCCTGGTACTTGGGGGTGGGGAGAAATGCATGTATGTTTTCTTTCCTTTACAGTGGCTTTAACTTTTTCCCACCTCATTCATTGCCCTTGTCTGTATAATATTTAAACCTTTATAACTGACCCCTTTAAAATCATAGCTTCATATAGTTTCATAGATTTGAGTGTGGTAGAAGGTAGAAGGCCAATTTCTGACTTGATACCTGTGAAATCAGGTTTTGATACATTTGCTGTGTATTTATTTTAGGAAGTATTAGAATTATATAATTTAAAATAAATGTTTTTGAGTTACCTAATATATTTTCATGTACACAGTATCACATTTCATGACTTGCTGCAGTAAATCATCAAAATATTGTCTAGGTTCCTCTGGAGTAGTTTAATGATAGGTTCAATGTATCATTTTAATGACAGACATAAACTTTAAAAAGATTTTAGATTGGGCCAGGGATTTAGCTCAGTGGTTCCGGCGCCTGCCTTGCAAGCACAAGGACCCAAGTTTGATCCCTGGTACCAAAAAAAAGGATTTTAGATCCTAAGTGGTAAAATTTAAGAAAACATCTGAACACTTAAAAATAAAATTTGCATACTGGGACTGCCTCAGGAATTTTTTTCTGTCCTGCTACATTACTGGATGCAATTCTGTTTCTTTGTAGAACTTCCAGCCTTTGTAAAAGTGTAGGTTACATCTAGTAAATCCCATAAATTTCTCAGTTTTGAAGGCTGATTGGTGGTGGTGGTGGTGGTGGTGGTTGTTAATGAAATTTAATTATATGTAATCTTACCTTTAAATGACTTACCTTTAGCTGACATCAAGATATTAATTACCCACCTTATTGTTTTTGGCAGTCGAGTTGAACTGAAAAGATTATGTGAAATTTTCACAAGAATGTTTGCTGATCCTCATGGCAAGGTATGTTTTAGTACAGACAATTATTTACTCCTACATTCCCCCAAAATAAATAAAATAATAACATAAAGCTGCAAGTAATTTTTATGGTATTATTGATCAAAACTTATAGTAGTAGGGCCAGGGATTTAGCTCAGTGGTTCTGCCACCTGCTTTCACAAGCGCAAAGTCCTGAGTTCGATCCCTGGTACCCCCCCAACAATATAGTAATATCTTAAAACATAATTAAACTTAAATGGCTGATATTAAATGTAATTCAGAAAGTGCTCTTTGATAGCCATTCATGCTACTCTAAAGTGATCTTTTCCGGTAGTGAAAACTGAAGAGTATAGTTATAAACACAGGTTTTTATAGTTTAGTGAGGGGCAAGAATATTTTATATTATTAAAAGTATTTTGTTATTTGTAAAGAATATAAATGAAACAAGTTGAAAAAAGTTTCTCACATTTCACTTTTCTTCTGTATTAGAGCATTAATGTAAATATATTCTTATCTTGAAAAAACATTTTTGTAGAAAAGAATTGCCATTAAATAACAAAAAGAATCAGATATGGCTATAGTCATACCTTGGTAATACTATAACAGAAGAACCATTTCATACATTAAAATAATGCTGTTTGGTTTTTAATGTTGGTTCAATTATATTTGATTAAGTACTTATGCATAATTGCCGTTTATACTATAAATTTTGGTTTACCTCGATGTGCAATACTGTAATAAAAATGTGTTCCACTATTCTGTTTCCAACAGTGTGTTTGGGAGCTGTAAAATTTATTGTATCTTCCTTTAGGACACAAGTGGCTACGGGAGAATTTCTGACCTAAATGAGTGGGAGTTGTGGCGAAGATATTGAAACAAAATAATAACTTCCATTTTACTTTTATACACATCATGTTCTCATTTTTTGGTATATTCATTTTTTATGACACTATTTAAAGAAATTAAAACCCCACAATAAATTAAATCAACTAGTGATTTAATTTATTAGTGTACCAGTGAGGTACATATTTATTTAAATCACTTATACTTTAAAAAGTATTTTTCAAAGGTTATTTTCTATCATATTTTATCTGAAGATAAAATTTCTCATTAAAAGACAAAAATACATTTGGTAAGCAGTTTATTAACTAAAATTTTAAAAATTTAGAATTGTCAAACTGATAATGTAGATGACCATTTTATGTTGATGTTGCTATTGTTAATTGCAGCTGGCAGTCTTGCTTTAGAAGAAAAAGTGTATCAATTCTGAATAAATTATCTTTGATATCAATTGCCAGTATAAACCAAGAGAACCTGTAATTAACAGTATGTTAATTAACAGTATCTTCAGCTTTGAAAAATTGTTAATAAAAGATATAATTTAATCACTGTAGGAAAGTTTAAGACCAAGGCTGAGTTATTTCTTGGGTCATAATTTTTTACCCTTTTTATGGCCATAATGCGATTTTGTTGGATGCCTGGACCTAGGCAGTGATAAAGAAAACATTTTAAAAATTCAGATAGGAAAGCTAAGGGGTTTTGTTTTTGTTTTTGTTTTGGTACTGGGGATCAAACTCAGGACCTTGGGCTTGCAAGGCAAGCGTGGCACCACTGAGCTAAATCCCCAGCCGTAAAGCTGAGTTTGATATTGGTAAGGAACTAAAATGAAACATAAATGTTGGCCTCCCTTAATAGATGTGGAGAACCAGGTATACTTCTGCCGTGAAGTATAGTTACCAAAGGTGACTTCTAGTTATTTTTCTTAGGGTTTTAAATAACATAAAATTATTATTGACCCACCTGGTTTTGTTTCTTGGTTTGTGGTTTAAATTTTTTTAGTCAGTTCTTAAATAATGGGAAAGTTTTTGGTTCTGTTTATTTTTTTGTTTGGCAATTGCATTCTTCAGCTTTTTGTTGCTTGGACAAAATACCAGACACAGCCAATTTGAGGGAGAAAGGGTTTATTTTGGCTCATAATTTCACATATTTCATTCCATGATCAGCTGGCTGCACAGCAGAAACATGCCAGAAGCTCGTGGCAAAGGAAAATTTCTTGCTAGAAAGTGAAAAATCAAGAAACAGCCATAGAAAGGGAGGCGGGGATTTAACTCAGTGGTGCCACCACCTGTCTTTCAAGTGCAAAGTCCTGAGTTTGATCCCTAGTACCCTTTAAAAAAAAAAAAAAAAAAAAAAAAAAAAAAAGAAGAAGAAGAAGAAAGAAAGAAAAGAAACAGCCGGAGAGGAAAGGGCCAGGGACTAGATATATTTTCCAGGACCCACCAGACACACATAGAAGTTTTCTTTACTAACCTCCTAGGCATCTCTTAAGCCATTGAAGTTGACAATCAAGATTAACTGTCAGAGAGATTGTCCATCACTGTCACTACTAGTAGTGTGATTTTTGGAGAATAAATTGAACATATCAGTATGCTTTGCTGAGTTTGAAGTATAAGGATCTGATTTGTATTTTTTTACATTATATCATGATATCGTAACAGATGTGCTCCTCTCCTTTACAATGTTATCTGTAAAGTACCAACAATTCCATCTTCAGGATCCTATAATTTATTTAGATTATCTTTTTTTCTTTCCAAATGCAATGTTGTTGTGTATCAGAGATCAGCTAGTAATTTTTGTAAATATTTGTGGCTTTGTAGGCCATAATGGTCTCAGTCCCAGCTATTCAACTCTGCCATTTTAACATGAACGTATACACAGTCTGTAACAAGTGAATATGTCTGGGTGCAGTAAAACTGTTTATAAACATTGAAATTTGAATGTTCATATAATGTTAATGTGTCACTTAGTCTTCTGATTATATTTAAAATTTTAAAAAACATTCTTAGTTTGAAGTCCATAATTTGCTGACCCCTTTTTATATGGCTGTTTGTCACTGACACTCATACAGAAACATAAGTTTAGGAACTTACACTTGCAACTCATCCCACTTGTTGAAGGCTATGACTCTTAAAGGTAAATTCTACTGACCCCTGCAAATGAAGTCATACAGTTTAACCTATTTCTGTTGTGTCTATACCTGATCTGTGGCTGGTGTCTGAGTCCTCAGTAATACTGCACAGTCCTCTCAGTGTTTTCTTCTGTCCCCTATGAAGACTGTCAAATACTCTGTCTTAAAAACCCAGCCCTGCTTATTTGTCCAATCATCTTGTGCCCTAGCATGTATCCTAGCCTCTGAGCTTACCAGTAGAGTAGGAGCCATCAAGCAGAAATTCTGTTTCCTGCCACTGACTACAAGCTTAACTCCACATCAACCCATTCTGACTTTCTATCTTCCCTCCTTTTCAGATAGAAAGTTTTCTCATCTTGAAACTGCATTGGCAGCTACATGAACATCCTTTCTCTTGCCAGTATAAGCTCATCTGCTTAGGTTTGCAGGAATTTCTCACAAATTTCAGTTTGCTAATTGATTTCCTCTTTTTGTTTTTCAACTTTGTTGTGAATTTATTACTTATTCCAATGTACCTTTTTTTTTTTTTTTTTTTTTTTTTTTTTTTTTTTTTTTTTTTTTTTTTTTTTTTTTTTTTGAGACAGAATCTTGCTATGTAGTTCACACTGGCTTGAACTCACCAGCCCAGGCTGGCCTCAAACTCATGGTGATTCTCCTGCCCTGGCTTCCCTAGTGCTGGATTACAGGCATAGACTACCACACCTGGCCTCAGATGTACCTTTTCTATCATTTAAGGAATGCGGCATGGGATAGGAAAAAAGATAGGTTTTTCTGTTATACCTAATTCAGTCTCCTCACACTATTTCTTTTATTCTTCTTTTCAAACACCTATCAGCTGGTTTTACTAATATTGGTATTGCGTAGCATGTTGCCCTAGGCCTTCTTATTCACACTATACCTTATTGAAGCTTCCTCAGCTACTTTCCTAATGCCTCCCATATATGTATTTCCAGTCTGTTTTTCCTCTGCACTTAGTTTCATCACTGTTGCTTACATTCATCCCTCAGTATCTGTAGTATTTGTTCCAGGACCAACGCCCCTCCTGCAACCCCCATGGAAACCAAAATTGATGTACAGTATGATCAAAAACTGCAGTGAATGTTTAAATTTTATTTTAAAGATTTATTACAGTAAACTATAGCCAGGCATGGTGGCACATACCTGTAGTACCAGCACTCAGGAGGCAGAAGCAAGAGGATCACTGCAAGTTCAAGACCAGCCTGGGGTACACAGTGACATATAGGTCAATCTGACCTACACAGTGAGACCCTGTCTCAAAAAATATATTTATTACACTAAAAGACATTTCCATTAATCTCCCTAAAGATAACTTCCCCTCACTTTGAACACATTTATCCCATTGTTCTTGCCACTTTCTGAAGCAGCTCTGGAAGTCCTCTTTTGTGTCTTCAGTTACATTGTCATGGCTGCCTCAGTGTCCTGAACTGATGGAAAACATTTACCTTTCATAGTCATTTTGCCTTTGAGAAAAGCCAGAAGTCACACAATGCCAGATCTGGGAAATAATGTGGATGAGGACACACTTTAATGTTTTTACAAGCCTGCCTTTCCACTAAATGGCACTTGGCAGTATTCACTAATATGTATATATATTATATATTTATATTTATATTTTTTATACCAGGGATTAAACTCAGGACCTTGTGCTTCCGAGGCAGGTGCGCTGTCCCTGAACTAAATCCCCAGCTTATTACTGTATTTTTTTATCACATCTCATAATGACGCTAACCAAAGATTTCCAGAAAGGCATCAGAAGATGGAAAGAATGATGGGATAAGTGCATTTGAAGTGTGAGGAGGTATTTTGTAGAAAAATTAATGGCAGTGTGTCTTTTACCATGTAATTTCTAAAAATTTAAATATTGTATATTTTGATCACCTCTTGAATTTCAGGTCCTTTATATAAAATAGCATAGTGTTTGCATATAACCTATGCACATCTTCCCACATGCTTTATTTATTATTTATTTATTTTTGGTACTGGGGATCAAACTCAGGTCCTTGTGCTTGTGAGGCAGGCAGCGGAAACCACTAAGCTAAATCCCCAGCCACATACTTCAAATCATCTATAGTTTACTTGTAATACTTAATACACTGTGAATACTTTGTGAATAGTTGATTTACTTATTGTTTAGGGAAGAATAATAAAAAATGTCATGTGTAACACAGATCCATTTTTTCCAAACATTTTGATCCACGGTTGGTCAAAACCATGGATATAGAATACACAGACGGGCCAGGGACGTAGCTCAGTGGTTCCACCACCTGCTTCGCAAGCACAAGGACCCGAGTTCAATCCCCGGTACAAAAAAAAAAAAAAAGAATAAAAAGAATACACAGTTGCAGAGGACTGACAATATCTTCAGCCTCAAAACTACTCTTCCTAGCCAGGCGTGATGGTGCACACCTGTAATCCCAGCTCTCCGGAGGCTGAGGCAGGAGGATCACTGTGAGTTCGAGACCACCCTGGGTTACATAGTGAGTTCCAGGTTAGTCTCAACTACATAGTGAGACCTTGTCTCAAAATAAAAAACAAAAACAAAAAAACTACTCTTCCTTCTCCATTGCTTTATCTTATTAGATGATACTTGCATCACTTGGTTACCCAAGTGAAGAACTTGGCATTATTCTAGAAATATCCTTTGAACCTATTAACCCTTTTAAATATCTTTCTGTTTATACTACTAATTCAGGGCATAATCATCTTTTTAAAAAATGTCTATTACTATATGTTTTTAGTACATAAAGATTCAGGGGCCAGGAGTTTAGTTCAGTGTTGCCGCTGCCTGTCTTGTAAGCACAAGGTCCTGTGTTTGATCCCCAGTACCCAAAACAAACAAACAAACAAACAAAACCAGGTGTATTCAGGCTGGGGATAGATGATAGATGCTCAGTGGCACCACACCTACCTGGCAAGTGCAAGGTCCTAAGTTTGGTCCCTGGTACTGGGGTGGGGGGAAAGATTGTATTCATTCTGGGGAATTGGTATATAACACATTTTGACTCTTTTTATGTCCCTTTTCCCTCTATCCATGTTTTGTTGTTGCAGCTGCCGCTATTGTTACTGTTGTTATTATTTGCCAGGTTTATTTATTTATTTTTAAGTCTTTATCAACTTAACCCGAACATATTAACAACCAGAGTAACAGATCAAAAAGCATATAAACACATAAAAGTGATTTTACTTAATCAAGGTACACTTTTATATACAAGAGCACAATCGTCTTTTGTCATTGGACCCCTTTCATCTTCCACAGTGGATGCTTTAGTAATCTTTCTAGAAGATAAATCGTCCGTACTATTTTAAAGTCCTAAAGAAAATGTCCAAACAAAGCCTATCAGTTTTGCATCTACTCTTTCCTCTCAGCCCAGGCTGTGATCACTTTCCCACTGTGCCATGTCCTCCTTACAGCTTGAAGTATATCAGGCACACTTTCCTTTCTTCCTCAGTTTAGCGTCCTTGTAGCCCTGCTTAGATAGCACATTTTCTTGAATGGATTAAATCACCATTCTGAGTTGGAATTTCTTCTCTGTAACCTCAGATGTCCTAAAAATCTTACAGAGCAGAAACTGTACAAAGCCTTGCCTCTAAAGTGAACCTTAGTGTGTTCTTAAGACAGCTTATACCATTAGCAGTGGTTGGGTGCGTTTTTCCATGTGCTTTTAGGTTTAAGTCAGTATTTCAGTCTCTGCGTTAACAGATTCTCGGTAGCAGCTGGCTTCCATAATAAGTGAAAGTTGTCCCCCTTTTTGCCCAACATAGCTGAGACCATCTCTTGTCCCCAGCAAAAAGAGGACACTTAAAGAATATGGTTATGAGCAGCAGTCTATATTCCCTTCAGTCAGGAACACCTGCTCAAGCCCCTAGAATCTTTTACTCTGATTTTTTTCAATCAAAGGGTCTGTATCAGTCATGCTGTAGTATACATTACAGATAGTCTGGAAAGTAATTTTTCCTGAGTACAGAAAATCCTGAAGTAGATGCAGGATTTTTCCTGGCATAGGAATAATGTAGTTAGTAAATACAGATCGAAAGTTGAAGTTATTTGTTGTCTATAATTTGTTAGTAAACTTTTAACTTCATGTATGTAGTTGCCCCCTAGGATTCTTGGGGGATGGATTCCAGGATCCTCTGCAGTAAAATAAAACAGTGTAGTATTTGCATGTGACCTGCACATATCCTCCCACTTGAAATCATCTCTGTATTGCTTATAATACCTAATGCAATATAAATGCTGTATGAGGGCCGGGGATTTAGCTCAGCAGTTTGGTGGCCTGCCTTGCAAACGCAAGGACCCGAGTTCAATCCCCGGTACCAAATAAATAAATAAATGCTGTATGAATAGTTGTTGCAGTGTACTGTTTAGGGAATAATGACCAAAAACTGTACATGTTCAGCACAGATAGTTTTCACCCAAATATTTTTGGTGTCCAGCTGGTTTAATCCTCAGATATAGAATCTGCAAATACAGAGTACAGTATAAAAATAGATAACTAACAAGTATATATGGATGACAGTAATTTACTCTATAAAGCAGCAGGTTATAACACAATGTTTTAATATTAATATAGAGAGGTAACACCACACAGTAATGAAATATGGACAATGAAACTAGATTGCTTAGTTCAAATCCTATCTCACATTCTTAACACTGTGTACCTTGATTTCTTAATCTGTAAAACAGATTTTATAGTAATATCTACCTCATAAGATTGTGATAATTGAATGAGTCAATATATGTAAAACCCTTAGAACATACCAAACACTGTATAAATTTTAAAATATTTAATGTAATATTTTAAACATAAAGAGTGCAGGGCAGATACTTATTTTGACTACTCTGGGCCCACTTTCTTCCCTCAAGTGTAGGCGCTGTTAGTTGTCCAAAATTATCCTGTGGCTCTGTCATTAGACTCTGGGGAGGAACTCTGAATAAAGTCATCCTCATGAAGGTGTATGCTAAGAATTGGCGATTTATGACCTTTTGTAATCCTACCTCTTGAACCATGCTTCTGAGTCTTGGATTGCTGGGGAGTTTAATCTGTGACAGCTAAACTGGAGCCCAGTTGCATGCCCTGCTTAGGAAAGTCACATGTCTTCTCCTGACAAGTGTTCTAGGTAGCTCAGGTGCTCTTAGTCTTTGAAGCAGGAGCCTCCAACACACATCTTACATGGGGAGTATAAAAATTTGTGGTACAGTTAACCTCTAAACAATAATAATTGTTTTAGACCTTCATAAGAAATAGTTTGACTTGGAAAGTATTACTTGGGAGGGGGGTTCTAGATACTACAATATTTAGGACTAAATATTGGCACTGTTCAGATGTGAGAGTGAGTTTCTGTTTATTCTTGGGTGTTCTTTCCAGCAGTTGAGGCACAGGAATACTAGGACCTACAGAAAAAGAGCTTTTGTTTCTATTTTTTTAATTTCCTTGACATGAAAGTAAAAGAGAAACATAGGATAATCATATGTTCTTCTCCCATACTATTCATTTAATTCTTGTTTTTAAAACTATTTTGAGTTTTTCATAAAACTTTGAAAAACATTTGTCACTTTTATTTTCTAAGTGTTGTTCTTCCCGTACAGGAACTTTGCATTGATGGCGACTAATTTGTGTGTTTTTCTTTTTTTTCTTTTTTTCCTTTTGCATGCTGTCCCCTGTGTTGGAACTCTCAATAGAGAGTAAGTTGGTTCAATATTTGTTGGAAGCCTAACTTTACTGCATGACTGTGAAATTAACCCTTTTTCTCTGTTTTCTCTCCCAAAGAGTTCATGCAGTGTTGGACCCTTTGCAATCCACGAAATGCTATTTGCAGTTATGCAAACTGTCATTCTGTTTGGAGATGTGCTTTTTAATCTACTAATTAATCTAATTTGATTATGTTCTTCTGTTCTGTATTTGATGACTGGCACACCTAAGATATAAGCAAGTTTTAAGAAAAGGCTGCCTCAATTGTAATAGCTCAAGTATGTAATTTTGTCTCAACAAATTAGTTTTGAGATATGTAAGATTATAAATTAATTTCACTGAAGGTTTAAAAATAATTCTCAAGTTTCAAGATTTTTCCTTTGTTAGCCCCTACCCCATATTATGTACTTTCTACTATTTTTTGTTTTTCCAAACAGCAAATAGAATGGTGTATAGGGCCTTGATTCTCAACTAGTATTATAGCATATCCATTTTTCCCTTTAATCCTAGGTAAGGTAATAGGAAAATATCAACATCTGAGACAAATTCTTTATAGAAGGGCAGTTGACTAAAAATATTTGTGCACAGGGCCGGGGATTTAGCTCAGTGGTTCCGGCGCCTGCCTTGCAGGCACAAGGACCTGAGTTCGATCCCCGGTACCAAAAAATAAATAAACTTGTGCAGAATTTCCAATATATTATGGGTAAAATATATTAAAATATATGAATATATACATATGTATGTGTGTATATATGATCGATGAGTAACACTGATAGGTGATAGGATATAACTATTTTTGAAAAGTAATGATTCTGTTGTATATGTGGAGTATTATAAATAGCACTTTTTTTATTTAGCTGCTCACATTATGTTTAACCAAAAGAAAGTTCTTCAGATAGTTACAATTCTCCTTGAAAAAAATAGCAGTTAAGATCTTGACAGAGAAAAAGTGAAATAGTACCATAAATAGCTAGTCCAATTGTTAAGTTCTAACTGGGGAAGATCAGTGACTATCATTTAAAGTAATCCAAGAAGCTTCTTGGCTGAGACTTCAGTGTTAAACTTTGTGGGGAGTCACGTACTATATATGAATGAATGGGGAGGGGTAGGAAATTGGGGATTATAACAGATATGAATGAAGAGGGAGAGATAAAGAATGTATATTTCCAGATACCCCCATATTTTGGAGACCTAGATCTCTATATAAGGGTTTGAGATATTATCCTATAGACAGGAGATCTTTAAAGATTTTTGTTTCTATCAAAAAAATCGTATCATAGCGGACGTGGTGGCGCACACCTGTAATCCCAGCTCTCGGGAGGCTGAGGCAGGAGTATCAGCTGTGAGTTCGAGACCAGCCTAGGCTACATAGTGAGTTCCAGGTCAGTCTCAACTACATAGTGAGACCCTGTCTCAAAAAATCAGAAAAAAAAAAATCGTATCACAATTTTATATCACATAGGTCTGGGGATTTAGCTAAGTGGTTCTACTGCCTGCCTTGCAAGTGCAAGGACCGGAGTTTGATCCCCGGTACCAAAAAAAAATTTTTTTGATACCACAAATACAACCTACTGGCCATATCTGCCCTGCTGCCTGTTTTTGTAAATAAAATTACGTTTGAATTCAGCCATGCTGGTTTATTTATGTGGTGTCTATGGCCATGCTGCAGTGGCAGGATTGAGTAGTTTCAAGTCCATATGGATTAAAAAGCCTTGATAATTGCTCTCAGTTTTTTATAAAAACGATTTAATGATTCCTGCTATAAAGGAAATATAAAGGTTAAAATCAGGTTAGTGCAGTAATCCAGATGTGAAGTCAGCAAAGCTTGGTGCTTACAACAATAATAAGATAAATATATTTTAAGGCCAAAAGAGAGAGCTATTCTGGAGATTCTGGGCCTCATCGGACAGATTAGAGAGGACAAGTTGAGGAGTTCACACTTGTGATGAAGACTGAATCAGGGTGAAGGCATTTAGGATTTAAATGAACTCCTGGAAAGAAAGAAGGGCAATAACAAAAAGAAAACAGTGTCAAGCTACAGGAATCGCCAAGCATTTTGGATTTAAGAAAAAACTATTACACATCACAATTAGAAGATGAGAAAGTGGGTGCAATAGGATGGAAGCTAACTAAAGAAATAATTCCTGGGCTGGTGTCCTTTGCATTGGTAACCAAAGGAAATTTAAGTACAGAATAAAAGATAGTAGAACAGGCCGTGCTTTACAGAGCAAAAATACAGAATAGGAAGATTAGCTTTAAAATGAATAAAATTGGTTCTTCTTTAGAGAAATTATTATTATTAGAATGTTAAGTATAGTAGAATGCAAATTGAGGGAAAAGTCATGGAGAACATTGTGTTGCAAGACAGTAAAGTCAGTGAGATAAGCCATTTAGCAAAAAGTGATAGAATAAAACTGAAAACAAGGGAGTTACGTGCTGGCCCAGCCACTGTCCATCTGTGAAATGTTGGATGAGTCACTTAATTTCCAACTTCTGTGCTTACTTATCCATAAAATGGGAGGATTGACATAGGCATTATATTGTTGGTACGGTTTTCAGAATGGATTTTACATGTACAAAAGTTTAAAGTTGGAATCATTGAGAGAATATGAAAGCATTGAAGCCAGTTGTGATAGCACACACCTGTAATCCTACCTACTCAGGATACTGAGGCAGGAGAATCATAAGTTCAAAGCCAACCTGGGAAGTTTAGCAAACCCTGTCTTGAAATTCTAAAAGGAGGAGGTTGGCTCAGGCTATAGCACTCTCTGAGTTCAATTCTTAATACCACAATAATAAGAGTTAATGCCAGTGAAAGTGAACCACCTAATTAAAAATAAGAGTTACTTGCTAATAAGCTTTAGGGAAGAAGAGAGTCTTAATTTGTATAATGTTTAATGTTTCTGAAGTGAGACTGACTATCCCTGCTGTTGCTGATTTCAACACCTCACATAATTCCTGAAATCACTCCAGCACATCGCTGAATGGTGTGTCAGGTAACCAATCAGAGTGGATGGTAGATTAGATCCATGCATTTATCATAGACTCAGTCTTATAAAGTTCTTCAACAGTATTCTGGGCTCAGAGGAGAGGACCAAAGACAGTTTAAGTAAAGTGTGTACTCATCCAAATTTGAAACCTGAGGAAAGCCACATTTTGGAGGTGTGGTTGAGGGGAAGAGTGGGACTGGAGTTAAAGGAATCTACATTGTAAAATAAGAACCTATTATTAAATTTTTGGGGGGAGGGTTTTGAGACAGGGTCTCACTATGTCGTTGAGACTGACCTGGAACTCACTGTGTAGCACAGGCTGGTCTCGAACTCAGTGATCCTTCTGCCTCAGCCTCCTGAGTGCTAGGATTACAGGCGTGTGCTACCACACCAGGCTTTAATTAATTATTATTTATAATTATTATATTATAATTTATTATTTTATTATTAATAACCCCAGGTGACGCTACCTGGGTACTAGAGAGTGCTAGAAAATTTAAAGTAATCATAGTCTCTGCTTATACAAATATATAGCATCTTAAGTGCGGTGTATTTTTTATTTTTAACTTTTTCAAATGTTAAAGCTTAGTTATAATTCTAACAGAGAAAAATCCTTTTTTTTTTGGTACCGGGGATTGAACTCGGGTCCTCACAATTGCGAGGCAGGCAGCAGAACCACTGAACTAAATCCCTGGCCCAGAACTTCATTTTTAACAGAAAAAGGAAAAAAGTTTGTATATATCTGTATAAAGGAAATTCAAGAAATAAAATATACATTGAAAGACAAACTCCTCAAATTAGCAAAATTACTTTTGAAATTATTTTTCACCTCAATACATCATGACTGAGCATCAAGAAATTTTTCCTTTTTACATAGAAGTAAATCTTCCAGGGTGGGGTTGAATTTCTTGTGAAGAAATACAAGCTTATTGTAGGTCACTTTTTATAAGTATTAGCGTCTTGTCACTTTAAAAAAAATTTAAGCTGGTAAACTAATGTTAACTGAGTATAAAATGCATGAGTAGAAATGGATACTAATAGCTTGCCATTAGGAACTTTTTAAAATCACTAAAATTTAGGTATAGACTCTTAGGTACCATTATATTTATCACAAATTACTTTTGGGGCAGTTTTACTAAATAACATGTTATACCAAAAAGTTTGTGACATTTGTCATTTTGAGAAATCTGAGGATTCTCTAATTATGTCAAATTTTATACTTTAAGGTAGTTGTTAGTGTGGTCATCCCCTATTCATTCAATGCTGCTTGTCCGAAAAGCAGAGAGTAAGATTATGGATAGTCCTTTCCCCTGCATTTCTTAGAAAATGAATCATAAGCTGTGGCATCAGTGATAACCTTAGGTGTGCCAGCCATTATGGCCAAAGTTTCTTTACCAAGTGATGCTGCATGGAATAGCTAATTGTTGAACTTCTGCAGAAGTTGAATAACGGTTAAAATGTACTCTTGTATCACAGAGTCCAATGAAAACCAAGAGAGATTGTTTTTCCGCTTGGCTGCCAATCGCTGTGCCTCTGATTCCTCTATTCCCTTCTATTTCAGTTTTGAATTGAGCATAGAGGTCAATATTTCCTCCTTTTTCTTCCTGTCTCCCCTTTTATCAACTGTAGGTATTCAGCATGTTTTTGGAGACTCTAGTAGATTTCATACAAGTTCACAAAGATGATCTTCAAGATTGGTTGTTTGTGCTGCTGACACAACTCCTAAAAAAAATGGGTGCTGATTTGCTTGGGTCTGTTCAGGCAAAAGTTCAGAAAGCCCTTGATGTTACAAGGTAATATTTTCTGCATATATTTTTAATTTACCCAATAATTATTAGGAATATTTCATTCCTATACTTCAAAGTTCAGAATTCTGGTTCCTTTCAAACAATTTAGATTGCATAGGCAATATCTGAAAATTGTTCATTTTGCCCAGTCATGTTGTGTATTTAATGCAATATTCTTCCTAGATAAAACTCATTTCTTGGAGCCAGGGATGAAGCTCATCTGTGCCACCGCCTGCCTCATAAGCATAAGGTTCTGAGTTTGATCCCTGGTATAAAAATAATAACAATAATAATAATAAAATAAATTCATTTCTTTTGTAAAAATTTTATTGGTTTGAGTAATTTGATTTAGTATTTTATCTTAAATAATACATATCTAGAGTCATACATGGTGGCATAGGACCTTTAGGTCCAGCTATTGGGAGACTGAGGTAAGAAGCTTGCTTGAGGCCAACCTGGGCAAAATAGCAAGACCTCTGTCTCAAAAAAAAAAAAGTCTACAGTCGTGTCATAGCATTTTGGTTAAGATCAACTGAAGATGTACTGCTAAGTAGGGTTGGCTATTGACTTGACCTAATGTAAAAATAAGTATTTTATAAGGTTTAAGACTGTTTTCTCTTTTCAGAAGATTTTTGAAACATGGATATATTTGTACTTTCCCATGTAGATTGTTCAAGTGACATTTCAAATATCCGTTTACTAAGTTAGAGTCTAAAATATAAACTTTAAGTGTGGGGAAACATGTCTGAACATATTGAACCTTTAACTGAATACATTTTTTTTTTATGAAATCAATATTTGAAGCAAGACAGACTATTGTTGGGCCAGGGATTTAGCTCAGTGGTGCTGCCGCCTGCCTCGCAAGCACTAGATCCCAAGTTCAATCCCCAGTACCCAAAAAAAGATAAACTATTGTTTACTTGCTTCTTAATGCTGTGATATGGAAAAATGCAAATGTTTATATTCTTCTAGGAGTGCTTTTATTGTATATTGTACAGTGGACTCTTAAGTTATAACTGGCCTAACATATAAACAACTTGGGTTACAACCAGAATTTTAGTTTTAACTGATGACAAAAGTCTTGAATTAAGACCCAAATGCCGGCCCCTTGTGCTTCCAGATGGTCTCAGATACAGATTTAACCCTTAAAGAGTTCTGAAAGGAACATTACAACATCCTTTCCTTTGTAGGGTTAATTGAGAAATCCTGGGTCAGTGTCTCTCTAAGGACACCGAGATCTGCCTATGCACAGGAGAGAGACTTTGAAGGCTGTGTAGAGGAGCCTGAGCCTTTACTTGACCAACTTGAGTTACAACCAGCCCTTGAAAATGAATTGAGTTTGTATGTCAAGGGTCCACTGTACCACATAGACTGTACCAGACACTACTTCATCACAATTTTTATATGGCACTTTGTGTAGTCTTTAGCTGTGAAGTTTGTTAATGAAGTTTGTTAAATGCATGGCTTAATTTTTTTGGTTTCCTTTGTTTTTATTTCAGAGAATCTTTTCCAAATGATCTTCAATTTAATATTCTAATGAGATTTACCGTTGATCAGACCCAGACACCAAGCTTAAAGGTAAAAATTTGAGGTTTTTTTTAAGACATTGTATGAACTGATGTTTTATTGATAAAGTTGTATTTATATTTGTATTTATCATGTACGAAGCAGTTCAATCAGTGGGCTTTGTTTTTATAAACTTTCAGACAGTCAAGCCAGCACTTCGGGACCAGCTTCACTCTTTTTGGAGCTCCAAGGTTTTTTGTTATTGTTTTAATCTTCATTATTTCTTTCCTTAACTTTCTCTGCAGTGTTTTGGATAATGTTTGTATGCATCTGTATTCAACTACTAACCTTTGTAAGCCTTTTAAGCATGCACATGTTTTATTTCAAATGTTATAAAATGCCCAACTACCTTTTGGTGAAGCATATGGGGATACAGTTTGGAAGGCATCACAAGTATGGCCATCTAACCCTAAGCTGGCAATGCACACTTTGCTTTATAAAGTCTTTAGCTAATTTTTATGTTTGTGATTTCCCAAAACTTCTTTTTTTCTTAGCTGCAGTCTTAGGAGTTTTATAGATATTTTGGGCAAAATAGCAGTTTTTGCCTAAGCACTTATTTTAGTAAACAAAAATTTTAAGTTTGATCTCAGTGCCATTCTTCAATTCCCCTTGATAGAAACAGTAACATTTTTTGCATTATAATATTTCTGAAATGTGCATAAAATTTATAATCAGGATTAGCTTTCTCAGTTTTTATTTGCCACATATTTCCAGTTAATTTTTGTGAAACAGGTTGATTCCAATTTGTGATTTAAAATGATTAAATTTAATGTAAGAGAAAACCAATTTTAATATTTGTATTCTTTTCTAAAGGTGTTTCACATGAGATTAAAGTCAGGGAAATAACAAGCATATGTGCCTTTTTGCAAGTCTTGTATTTTCTGCTCTATTCTGCACGAGATATATTTCCACAGTGTTAACTGCTCAAGATTGATTTTTTTCCTTCAAGTTTCTAAATGCAATTGTACCTCAAAATCACAATTTGTTTCTTACCAGCATTGACTTGCACTCAACATGTTGTTATTTTCTTAGAGCTACTTTGTGAAAGGGGTTCTTCCACGTTTCTATTTTGAAAACTGATCTGCAGAAGAATAATTTACTTGACTTTTTTTTTTTTTTTTTTCTGGTGCTGGGGATCAAACACAGGACCTTGTACTTGCAAGGCAGGCGCTGTGCCACTGAGCTAAATCCCCACCCCTTGACACTATTGATAAGTATTTTGAACTCATGTCCAAGTCATTGTGCTAGGGCAAAAATTGTAAATATTTATAGTACAGCATGATGTTTTGTTATATATGTACATTGTGGAGTACAGTAGTTACATTATTTAATATTTAATTAAGCTATTTAATATTTACGTTTCTTGCATATTTTTGTGATGAGAACACTGAAAATTCACTCTTAGCAATTTTCAAACATACAATGTTTGAAATATTGTTATTATCTGTCAATCCTGTGGTGGACATAGACCTTTCAAACTTACCGTTTGAAACTTAGCTTGTCTTACTGAAATTCTGTGCCCTTCAATCAGCAGCACCCCAATCCCCCAATCTCCCAGCTTTTGCTGACCACTGCTTTATTCTGTTTCCATGAGTTTGACTTTTTCATATTCTACATATAAGTGAGTGTATGCAAGATTTGTCTTTCTTTGCCTTTTCACTTAATATATCAACCTCCAGGTTCATCTGTGTTCTCATAAATAACAAGATTTCCCTGTTAAGGCTGGATAGTATTTTATGTCATATATATATATTTTGTCCATTCAGCCATTGAAGGGCACTTATGCCACTTACATGTCTTGACTATTATGAATAACGCTGCCATGAATGTGGGAGTTCATCTCTTCAACACAGTGATTTCATACCTCTTTGGTTTCTCTATTATTTTTTAATTAATATGTGTTTGCAGTATATAATGATTGTATTCTTGCAGGGAGTTGTTATATGTACACAACACATCTTAATTCTTTTTTCATCTGCTTCTCCTCTCCCCCCACACACACTTCATCTCTTGGTCACTTTCTTTTTTGCAAGAGATGTCTCCCTATTTCCTATTATCTGTCTTTTATTTTGCTCTTTAATTCTTTATACTTTGGTTTCTCATATAAGAGAAACCATGCAGTATTTAAGCTTTCGTGTCTCATTTATTGCACTTAATATTATGGTCTCAAGGTGCCTCCCTTTTCCTACAGTGACTTACTCCTCTTTGTGGCGGAGTGGTAAGATGAACATAGAGGCTGCTTCCGAGAGTTAGCTGTTGTGAGTTGTGCTACTATAAACATGGGTGTGTATGTATCACTGCAATTGGATGTATTTAACTCTTTAAGAAAGATGCCTAGAAGTGGAATAGCTGGGTCGAGTGGAATTTCTAGTTCCAGTTTATTGAGGAACCTCCGTACAGATTTCCATAGTGGTTGTACTAGTTTACATTCTTGCCAACTATATTTTGCTTTTCCCCCACAGCCACTCCAACATGTTATTCTTTCATTTCTCGGTGATGGCCATTCTTCCTGAAGAAAGATGGAATCTCAGTGTTGTTTTAATTTACATTTCTCTAATAGTCAGAGATGTTCAACATTTTTTCATGTATTTATTGGCCATTTGTACTTCTGAAAAATGTCTATTCATTTCAATTTGTCCATTTTTTTATTGAGTATTTTTGGAAATCTAATTTTCTAAGTTATTTATATATTCTAGACATTCCTCTGTCCAAGGAATAGTTGGTAAAAAAAAAATTTTTCCCATTGAATACATTCTCTTTACCCTATTAGCACTTTCCTTTGCTGTACAGAAGCTTTTTAATTTTATATGATCATTATTGATTCTTGGTACTATTTCTTGTGCCTTTGTGATTCTATTCACAAAATTCTTGCCTATGTCTATGACTTCACGGGTTTTACCTATTTTATCTTCTAGCAGATTGTTTTTGGTTTTTTTGTTTGTTTGTTTGTTTGTTTTTTCAGCTTTGAGTTTATTGGTACATTTTAGGGATACAGTACAGTTACATTCATTGTTGGGATCTTGTACCTCTACATGACAAGTCTTGATTCTCATTTTTTCCCCTTACCTCTGCCCTCCCTTCACCCCCCTCCTCCCCTCCCCATCTACAAACACTTTATTTTCATCTTTTCATTCTCTCACATTTTTTTCTTTTCCCTTTTTACCCTTCCCCTACCCATCCCACCTTCCCTACACCTTTAGCTAAATGTCAGTAATCTTATTAGAATCTTATGCATTGTTGCAGATTATTTACACCACGGAAACTATTTGGTATTTACACATGTGTCACTTATTTATTTCACTTAGGAATATATCTTCAATATGTATCCATTTTCCTGTGAATGAATCTATTTTCTCATTCTTTATGGCTGAGTAATATTCCATTTTATAGAAAAACCACATCTTCTTTATCTGATTGTTTTTGTTTTAATATTTAGGTCCATTTAATCCATTTTGATTTTAGTTTAGTACCTGGTAAGAGATATGGCTTTAGCCATAATCTTCTGCACATAGTTAGCCAATTTTCCCAGCATTATTTATTAAAGAGGCTATCTTTTGTCCAGTGTATGTTTTTGCTCCCTTTTTCAAAGATCATAGAGCTGAATGTACCTGGAGTTGTTTCTGCAACCTCTATTCTGTTCTGTTGAACAGGTGTGCTTTTGTACCAGTACCAAACTGTTATGGTTTGGGTCTAGATGTCCTCCCAAAGCCTCATGTCACAGGCTTGATCTAGAATGTGTGAAGCTGGAATTGATTCATGATACAATTCTAGGCTGGAGGGCAGTAGGATTAAGGGTGTGAGTGCTTCCCACCCTCCCTAAGTAGTCTGGATAAGGTAAAAGGGGCTGGGAGACACTGTTAACTCTCTTGTTACCTTTACTGCCTTGTGTGTGTGCCATGTTGTTTCTCCTCTGCAATGCCTGTTTGCCATCCCAGCCTCAGAGCCAGCTGATTATGGACTGAAACCTCTATGAACTGTATACCAAATAAACCCCTTCCCTCTAACTTTGGGTGTCAGGTATTTTGTCTTAGCAATGAGAGAAAAGTAAATAACACACATACTTTGCCTCTTCTGATTAGTTTTGGTTTAAAATCTACTTTGAAAATAGGTTAGCTACTCCTGCTTGCTTTGGGGCTCCCTTTGTGTGGAATATTGTTTTCCATTTCTTTTTGTACCTGAACTTGAACTTAGGACCTTGCCCTTGCCAGGCAAGCACTGTGTCACTGAACTGCATACCTAGCCCTCCACTTTTTTAGTCTGTGAATTTCTTTTGGATTAAATGTGTTTCTTGTATACAGCATACTGTTGGATTTTGTTTCTTGATCCATTTTGCCAATCTGTGTCTTCTAATTGGAAAATTGAGACTTTTCACATTGAGAGTTATTACTGAATGGTATTAACTTATTCCTGTCATTGCATTATTTTCCTGCTACTGATTTCCTCTTTTTTTCCCTTCTGCTCAACTCAACTATCTGGTGTGCCCATTCTGTTAGAATTTTTGCTGTTGTTAGCTTCATTGCCTGTTTGTAGTTTACCCTTGAGAATTTTTTTAGAGTGCTAGTTTGGTGATCTTGAATTTCTTATTGTGCTCTTTTTTGTGGAAAGATCTTATTTGTCCATCAGTTTTGAAAAACAATTTTTTAGGATGTATCAGTCTGAGTTGGAAATTGTTTTCTTTTAGGACTTAAAATATTTCGCTCCAAGCTTTCCTGGCCTTTATGATTTGTGTTGGGGAGTCTACTGTAATTCTACTGGTTTACTTTTATAAGTTTTTTGTGCTTTTCTGTAACAACTTTTCAGATTCTGTCCTTGTGTTAGACTCATGGGATTTTGACTGTGTGTGATATGTCATGGAGAGGTTCTTTTCGCTCTGGCTATTTGGAATTCTATATGCCCACTTAACTTGTATGTTAAATTCTTTTCCCACATTTGAAAGGGTTTCTGGTATTATTTCAGTAAATGGGTTTTTTTATGCCATTTGTACTGTCTTCTGATTTTTTACTAATTCCAGTTAATCTTAGATTAAACTTTGTATCATCTAGCAGCAGTTGGATCCATTTTTCATGATCTTTTGTTGTTAAGTTGTCTCTGAGTATACAACTGCCTATATTAGCCCTATTTTATAGTTCAGACACTTTGTCCTCACATTGATCACTTCTGCTGTCCATCCGTTCAATAGAATTTTTAATCT